AAACTACTTTTTCACTAAAATTGGTGCTTTTGTAATACTTAAATTTTTCTCATCGATGCTGTAAAAGGTATAAAAGACTTGTAATAATGGTATTGGTGGCGCAGTTAGTAGTTGGTTAGTAAAGTGGAACTGGAGGAGAGGGGTTCGTTCCAGTGTGCGGTTAGATGATGAGAAATATTCTTTCCCCGTCTGACTGGGAGGGTATGGGACTCCTCCAAAATGTTGTTGACATGCAACTGCCTGATACACCGCAACTAACAAACTGTTTAGTGTGACCTACGTTTTCGAAGGGGCAGCAAAGTAATTAGGTTTACTGATCAGGTTTTTTCAGCAATACTTTGGTTGGGCATTCTACGCTCAAGTTATTGGGACTGCTCTACACTTTGTCGCAGCATTTCTTGGCTGTGTGGCTACTTCTGTTGCGTTTACTAAAGGAAAAGCAAAGCTTGTAAAAATTGAGGTTTTTGCATTATATTTTTCACAGTAGTCCTTTTTATTTTCATTTTTTTTTTTTTTTTTGTTATTAATATTGCTCTAAAACAGTCTCGCTTCACATTTTAACCATCAATGCAGATACTTAAATGAAGCAACGTAAACCACATTTTTTTAACGAACTAATTCAGGTGGTTGATGGCGACGACACATCACTTCTTGACGGCGAGTCCAGTAGGCCATTTAAAAGGTCTTTCTCCGCCATTTACAAGGTCGATTCTGCTGCCCTAAGACAGTGGGAAAAAGACTATATGAACAAAATTAAAGACGAGACTTTTCTTAAGCAGGTTTGTAACGTCCAGTTGAACTGAAGTTTTCCTCACTATTAACACCGCTTTTCTTCAAAATCTTCAATACCTTCCCAAGAAGAATACCTATAGAGGCTTTTTTTGTTTCAGAGAATAGGATCTATGCCAAACATAAGGAAAGGTGAACGATATCAGCAAAGAGCAAATATTTTTGGCCAATCGCGGTCGTCATCACAAACATTCTTGAATATGACGGGTAGCAATCGCACTTTAACGACAACAACCTTCGACTCAAGCCCTGAGAGGGCGCCAGTATTAAATGAATCCTATTCCGGGACTTCCAAGGTTCCATGAGTCACCTATCACTCTACCAGTCTACTAAGAGATTTAGCTTAATATCGTTATTTTTACAGCTAATAAAGGTGAATGATAGATTTGAAATCTATTTTTCTTTTTTATAGCCCGCTTTAAAATCCGTCCTGAAACAACCAGCTCGTTCGAATCCGCGCAGTATAGCAGAAAGCGACGTGACTTACGAAATCCTTCCATGCGATTCATCTTTTGACGAAAGAGGACAAGGAACAAGCGGCCGAAGGTACTGTTCAAATAAAAGCCACTCCTGCCCTTCCTAAATGTTCTTTCAACTCCAGGGCCAAGCGTTTTTAAAAGTTTCAACTTATTCTTTGGGGTTTAGTACTATTAATAAACCACTTTTCTTCTGATCGTCCAAAATTTTTTTGAAGGTCTTTAAACACTTACGACAAGGTTTATGAGCCCACTAAATGGAAAAATCAAAGCGACAAATATGAAGAACCAAACACTATCCGGTCGAGGAACTCGCTGTCAAGTTTTGGCGATGGCATTTCAGCCCTTCAAAGCGGTAATTCGTTAATAATTTTTGCATTTATAAACTTTAACTCTTTAGTTAACAAAGCTAGTGTAATGGTCATAATTTCAAATAATTACAGGAAGTTTTTTTAATTTTGGCCTCAATATGTCTTTCTTTTTTTTTTCTAACTGCTGTTTCAGCTCCTCAAAAAAATTTTGTTTCTGATGGATCAGTAAAAAGTTTCGATGTTGGTCATCAGGAAGCCAAGTCTACACTAATTAATGATATCGTGGAGGAAAGGCCGAAAACTGCTGAACCGTGGATGGTGTTTAGGAAGTATCAGTTCGAACTTTTCAGTTCAATTTATTTCCCAGTCTAAAATACATAGTTTTACGGGGAAGAAGATGCATCTCAAAAGTTCCTTTAACATAAAAACTTTAAAAAACATAGTTTATATATTGTTTTTAGAAGTTCATATTTTGACGACGAGTGTACAGCATCTACGGAATTCCTTCAACTGAGACATGAAAACAAGCGTTCAGAAAACAAAAGGAGTATTTTGCGACCCGAGGTTAATTTAAGGTTTAAACTGTTGTAAAATTTTAAAGAAACCGATCGACGTTAATCTTTTGCAAATTTTAAGGTGCTTTCAAAGCCGCCAGTACCGGAAAAGCCTACAGTTCCTTTACGTGCAACACAGTTATCTAGTAGTCAAAATATAAGAGACTTTGCTGTACGAAGAAGAGACACATCTGATTCGCAAGAGACTGATTCTTCACTGAAAACTGGAGGGATTAATATTAATACATTTGCTGGTGGATTTGGTAGCAGGACAGGGCAAAGGTTAATTTTCTGGAAGTTATTCTTTGGTATATTATGATTTCTTCTACAAAATTTATCGTATCTCTATAATAAAAATATTGTATTTCGATCTCCACCATGAAAAGTCAATTTACTTACTTTATAGATCGATAACAAACCTTACTGCTCTACCAAATAACGATGAGAATATTAGAGCATTTGAAAGGCATGATTCCTCTGATGTCAGTTTGACCAGCAGTTATTCTGCACCAAAAAAGAAGCCTCAGTCGCTTGAACAGCAAATTATTACAAAGCAGCTTATAAAAGTGTTGCCAACAATGGATTCTAAAGCGAATTTAG